CCCCCTGGCCGGGCCGGCGGCGGCCATCGCGTGCAGCGCTGTGAGGGCTGCGGCTCTCCATGAGCCTTTTATTATTTTGGGGATTTTATTTATTTTTTTTAGGGAAAAAAATAAACAATAAGCAGGCTGGGGGGTGGGGGGGCATAAGGATTTGTATGGTCGTTCCCTGTTTCTGAAATGGCTCCAGGGCAGAGCCACGGCTTAAAGAGGAGCAGGGTTGTGTGTGACAGCGAGCGAGGGCTCGAGCCTCCTCTGCTTGTCTGCCACGAGATGGAGGAAACCAAAACAGAGCTTTTATTTATTTTTTTCTCTTCAGTGAGATAAAATAAATAGCCCTTCAGTTCCCAGCGTCTCTATGGAATGAGCAAGCAGGACACCTACTGTGGAAAGTGCATCTTCTGTATCACAGGAGCACATGTTTTAAGACAATATTTGCAATGAGGAGCCTGGAGGAAGTCAGGACAGGGAAAATGCTGAAAATAGACCCTTCTGCGTTAGATTCTTCCTGAGCCGCTGAGGAGAGGGTGCAAAGTGCCCTTGAGAACGCTCTGAAATACCTGTCAGCCCTGAGGCCAGGTGAAGAACTTTGCACTTGGAAAATTGAGGGCAAAACTGTTGTAAAATTAGGATTAATTATGTGGTAAATTGCTTCACCATATTTATAAGTAAGGAAAACAGATGTATCTCGGTAGACTAAGCTAGGTTATCAGTAGAACAACTAGTTGACATTATTGGTGGAGCAACAATGAGCAGGCAGCATTCTTTAACCAAGGACAACCTGAAACTGCTCATTAAAATCAAAATGTTTTTAACACTTTGCAAAGTCGGCAAGAAAACTCTGAGTCAATGCATCCCTAAGCCAACTACTTTCATGATAATACTAAAAATCATGCCCATAGGTTAAAAAGCCCCTTGCCCAGGGCGTAAGGACCCCTTCCCTGAGCATGAGAAATACTGGGCATAGTGAGAAAGCATAATTATAATTATGTGTAAAATCACTAACCAATCAGTGTAAGAGTGTGCTTGGGATGATTTCTGAGTGCGTAAATATGGTTTGGAAAGCCAGGAGTTTGTGCTTGATTTGTGAGAAAACACCGTGCGCCTGGCCTTGCACAACTCCAAAATAAACAAGCAAATGTCTCTCCTGCATGTGTGATTATTGGCTTGTTGCATACCGGGTGATGAATTCACTTCTTGGACAACAAAACTCTGCTGTCTGTTGCTGCCAGTGAAAAGCAGTGTCTTAGAGCCTGAAAAATTGGCATGGAATGACACGGCTGAAAGCATTAAACTGTCCAAATGTGCCTTATGGTAGAAACGATACGGACAGCTGGAGTACTCCATCCACCTTTAGAGGAAGCACGGAAATCTACGATGGTTGAGAGTCATCCTCCACATGCTATTATACCTGTAGAGCTTCCTTGTGCATGGATGTTCTCCAGTCTGGTGTTTCAAAGCATATCTCCCTGTATCAGGATGGTGGAGATCTCACAACATATAATGCACTGCTTCAGAGCTCTGAACACATCTCCTCATGCTGTTTCAGCAAGGGCCTATCGCTTCCCTTCAGAGTTGCTCTCATACCGTCATTCCAGCTTTTGGCCTCCACCTGAGCTGCACTGCAACTGTCTTACAGCAGTGGCTGGGCCTGATCTTGTACCCATGCCTCCGACTAACTTTCTGGCTTGCTGTTGGGCCTGCCATGTCATGGCAATCTGATCCCTTGGCTGACCCTGGGCACAATCTCTGTATTTGCTGTGTTTAACCTGGCTCAGATAATCTGAGATTGCACCCTCACACAATTTGCCTGCCTTTTCATCCATTTTCAGCTCTTGGCTCACTTTGACACACCAAAAACCACTGTCAGAACCAGTTTGGACTCCAGTTTCCCATATAATGTTACAGAACTTGTAGGCGTTTCTGGAGCACCTGAAAAACACTGGTCTAGGCTGACTGTTCCTTTGATTGGAAAAGACGAGACTGTGCTGAGAATGGGCCTAATTCTTCATTTAGGGTGTTAGGAAAATGTTTTCCATTGTTCCCATTCAGTTATTCCCATTGTGGAAGAATACCTGCGTCTATATGGAAATAAGTTACCTGATGTTTAGACAGCGGAGCTGACTCATGTAGAAGTTGGACTCTCAGGACTCCAAGCAGCACCAGGGTGGGTGGGACATGACAAGTGCAATGGGCAGTTCTTCTTCACAGGCAGCACAAGGCAAAATTCCTGTTACTTACTCAGTGGAGAAGACTCATGCTGTATCTCATTGCACTGGTTACTGCAGAAACCAGCCTTGCCTTTATCTACCTGATCTTCTGTCCTTCTGCGGTGGCAGGGACTCTCTGCTGCAACTATGGGAGGGAGCCTGCTTGCTCACTGAGCTCTCCCATGGTAGGATATGTTAGGGCATAACCCGTTTCTTTCTGCAGACTATTTTTAGCTAAAGGCCTGCTGTGCCACAGGAGCAGCTGAAGATGCTTGCCTAGTGCAGCAAGAGAGCTCTAAGAAGGCTGTGTGCAGAAGCCCTGAGCTGGCTGCACCATGTTTTCACCTAGATCACAGTGAATTTGGGCTGCTGGACAGCAGAGACTTTCAGAAGCCCTTGCATCCTTCTCTACCACACCACAAGGCTATGAAGGGAGCGGGACACGCACCTGGAATATTCCCTTTCTCTGCATCCTAATAGGTGCTGTAAGCCGTAGAGCATACCCACTTAATTACAGGGTGAATTAGTTTGCAGCAGAGGCATATTGGACTTTCCCGCTTACCAAAGGGTGTGTGATTGGCCATCCTTCCCCCAGCTCATTCTCCAAGAGAGACAAAGACAGAAAACTGAGGAGCCTGGCTGGCCTCCTCTTCTTTCAAGTGAAGAGCAAAGCCTATCCACAAATAGCCCTTGTTCTGTGCATCCCTGAGCAGAAGCAAGCTGGATGCCACATGCACAAGCTGAAATTATCCTGCCTTCCCTCCTGTCACCTTCAGACCACTCGGCTGCCTGCATTCACTTTCCTACCCTGGGGCCTGGGCATCTCCTGCCTCAGGAGCAGCCCTCACCTCACCTTGCAGCAGCACTTGCTGCAGACACAGAGGAGGGTGTACAGAAGCTCTCCAAGAAACTTCAGGATGGGGGATGTCCCACATTCTGTGACAACATCCCCAACATAGAGACGCAAAGCTCGCTCAGCAACATATTGAGCTCGCCTGGGTCCAGCACACGCTTTGTGCCTCATGACACACGCGTGTGTCTGCAGGTGCTGAAACACTTCGTCACGCCGATCGGTGCCTTTGACCGAGATGGCCGCTCACACGCTGGGAGAGACTTCCCTTTCCGCATGCACGGGGCGCTGCCCTGGCT